CACTATTGCAAGATAGACTAAATTAAAACATTCCTTCCAAACCCATTACTACTTCTTCACAACTTCAACCTTTATCAGACCTATTTACATGAAAAGCTACCTCTGAATAAATATCAAAGCTTACAAATGTATTCAGAAACAATGCCCTCATCACCATAGTGTCTCCATGACCCGCCCAAAACTACGCAACGATTATAACATTAATCAGCCGCTTAGCAACTGTTTTTCAGGACAATAGGTTGCAGAACATCAAACAAGTTTCCTCATTAGAGACAAAAAAACTGCAGATGCTGCAATCCAAGGTAGACAAACAGGACACTGGAAGAACACAGCAGGCCAGGCAGCATCTGGAAGAAAGGAGCAGTCAACACTTTGGGTATTACCCTTCTCCAGTCCAGTGCTGAAGAGGGGTAATACCCGAAATGTTGACAGCTCCTTTCCTCCTGCGTTCTTCCAGCCTCCGGTTTTTCTAAACAAGTTTCCTCCACTAGCATGTAGCTGGTAAAATGCATTTTAATAGAGTCTCTGTCCCCTTTTAGAAAGTTGCTATCAAGACAGCGCTTCTGTGAAATTGCATGAATGAATGAATGAAACTCTCACCAAATAGTAAACAAAATCACGACCCAGCTGTGGTCATCAGTGTAATAACCTTTATTCTTTTATTTAGTGCATGTATAATTTCTAACTTTAGATCATATAGGTCTAGTATTTTTACTAACATTTACTTACTTAAAAGATAAAAGGACTAACACCTCTTAATTATGCAAACGGACCGGACAGATACTCCAATCCGAGTAGCAGCCAGCACTTAGAAAATGTTTAAACATCCTGTTTCCCCAGGATAGATGTCACACAAATTTCTGTGTACAATAGGTAAAACTGTGTAACACCATAGTGATAGAATTTTAATATATTTAAGAACTGTAATTCGGGATTCCATCACCGCCCCAAACTGTGCTACTGCAGATGCTCAATAAAGGGGCTATTTTGCCACTCACAATTTCATTCATTTGAAACATGATCCCACAGACTGGACTGGCTAGGTGCAGGAAGAATGTTCCCAATGTTGGGGAAGTCCAGAGCTAGGAGTCATAGTTTAAGAATAAGGGGTAAGCCATTCAGGACAGAGATGAGGAAAACTTTCTTCAGTCAGAGAGTTGTGAAGCCATGGAATTCTCTACCATAGAAAGCTGTTTGTTAGATATATTCAAGATGCAGCTGGACATGGCCCTTGTGGCTAAAGGGATCAAGGGGTGTGGAGAGAAAGTGTGAGTGACTGAAATTGAGTGATCAGCTATGATCATATTGAAGGTGTTGCAGGATCAAAGGGCCGAAATACCTGTTTCTATGGACAAAAGAGCTGAATTTCAGAAGTGAGCCGAGAGTGACAACATGGCAGCATGAGTGTGGCTGTGGCTTCTAGGATCCCTAGCGAAACTGGAATAAATGGGTATCAGGGAGAAAAACTCCAGACATCAACTTTAGGACATCACAACAGCAGTTCCTCAGGGTAGTGTGCCAGGCTCAACCATCTTCAGCTGCTTCACCAATGACCTTCTGTCCATTATAAGATCAGAAGTGGGGATGTTTGCTGACGATTGCACAATGTTCAGCACCATTCGCAACCGATACCAAAGCAGTCCATGTTCAACTGCAGCAAGACCTGGATAATATCAAGATTTGGGCTGGCAAATGGCAAGTAACATTTAATAAACCAAGGTCAGAATCTTGAGTTTCAAATGTTTGACAACGAAACAGAGATCCCAGGGTTTGAAACTACAGAAAATGCTTAACATAAGAAAAAAATTCAATATTTTACTCTAATGAATTTCAACTATAACCCAAAAAAAAAATCACTGAAAACTCACGAGTGTTTCTTCAGTATCTTATACAGAGTATAATCAACTGGTAGATGACAGCATGTTAGAAAGATCTCTTCAAAGCACCAAGGTATTGAACAGAACTTAATAAGGCAAAACCATGATATTGGAATTGGAAGGAGGAACATAGAGTGTCCAGGTTATTGCACACCAGTACTAGCTATTCTCAAAATGCAAACCCACCACAGTTAAAGACAGGCCTGGACGCAATCATTAACAAATACCCAAGGCTGGAGTCAGGGCCTAGTTGTTTCCTTTGCAGAGTATGCAAGGAAAGGTGTTAAAAAGCCTCTTTCAACTCTATGGAGTGTGCTAGTGGGATCTGAGCTCTGTAGTTCTGCTACATCCAGTGATGAATGGAGGTGGACAAATAATAGAAACAAGTAACATCACAAATATCCCCATTCTCAACAATGGGGAACCTAGGACATCAGTGCAAAACCCAAGGCTCAAGTATTTGCAATAATCTTCAGGCAAACGTGTGGAGTAGATAATCATTGTGGCCTCTTCCTGAAGTCCCCAGCATGAAAGATGCCAGTCTCAACCAATTCAACTTACGTCTCCGTGATATGAAGAAACAGCTGGAGAGACAGGATATTACAGAGACCCCAACAGCATCCAACAATAGCACAGAAGACTCGTGCTCCAGAACTACCATACCCCTATCCATGTTGTTAGAGTGCAACAACACTGGCATCGGATTGTGGAAAATTGCCCAGGTATGTCTCATACACAAAACCAAATCTAACCCAGACAATTCCCAACCAATAATCTATGCTGTATTGTCATTGAAGCGATGGAAGGGACCATTAACAGTACTTTCATTCAGCACTTGCAAAGGAATATTCTGCTCAGTGATGCTCAGTTTGGGCTTTGCCAGGGCTGCTCAGCTTTTGAGCTGAATTCCAGAGGGGAGGGTAGAATGACTACCCTTGACATTAAGGCTACATTTGACTGAGTGTGTGATATCAAAAATTAGAGTCAATGACAATCAAATAGAGAAATTTGTTCTTTAGAGCCACGCATGGCAGAAAGAAAGACAGTTATGGTTGTTGGAGTTCAATTATCTCTAAGGCTATCACTGCAGGTGTTCCTCAGGACAGTGTCCTATGTCCTATCATCTTTAGCTGCTTCAATGATCTCCTGTCCATCACAAGGATAGAAGAAGTCGGGACGGTTGGTGATAATTGCAGAGTGTTGAAGCAGTATGTGTTCAAACTGATCATGACTCGGAAAACACTCAGGTTTAGGCTAATGTGTGGCAAGTAACGTCTGTGCCATATAAATGCCAGGCTATATGCTCTCCAACAAGAAAGTCTAACCATTGCCACTTGACATTCAGTAGCATTATCACTGATTCCCCTACTCTCATCATCCTGGGTGCTATTATTCACCAGAAACCAAACACTGCTGTCGCAAGAGTAAGTCAGAGGCTAGGAATTCTGCACCAAATAACTCATCTCCATAACGCCCATCCACTATCTACAAAACACAAGTCAAGAATGTGATAGAAGAATCACCATTTGTCTGGATGGATGAGGCTCCAAAAACATTTTAGAAGCTCGACACTACTGAGACCAAAGACGATCACTTTACTGGCACTCTATCCACCACCTTCAACAATCAACTCTCAGTGGCAACAGTGTACATATCTACAGGATACACTGCAGTAACTGACCAAGGTCCCTTCAGACAGCACCTAAAGCCATATCTTCTACCCACTCAGAAGGGCAAGATGTTAGAACACTACTATATGCAGGTACCCCTCCATGCAACACACTATCCTGACTTTAATTTCCATTTCTGCATGGTCCCTGGGTCAAAATCCTAGAACTCCATTCTTAGCTGTTGTGCAGCTCACCAACACCTTC